GCAGTACTTACAGAACCTAGGATAAGAAAAGTCATGGGATTAAGTACTAGAGGCAGAACTGATATGAAATATTTGGGTTTGGTTGTACTAGTAGTTGTTCTGATTTGTTATTATTTAAGAGATATGGAAGGCATAATGTTCTTAAATGGTAATCAATTTGAAATCTGACTCAGAAATTACAATGAATCCTAATTACTACAAAGAAAAGGGGTTGGCATACACTAGAGAAAAGGGCTTGGGGACGACGGAAAAGTATCTATGTATTTGTACCAGGCTGCTTGCTCTAATTTTTCTCAAACAAAAAATACTCTGAATCAGAAAGTTTTAGAGGGAACTTGGAGCTAAAATTTTAGTTAGGCATTTAGCATGCAAAATATCTATTTTGTCCAGACAATTTATTTAAACCCAAAAGCTGTCCAAATTTTTTAAATTAAATGATGAATTGCTATGTAAATAGTAATCCGATACTGTTTGTTTCTTCCTAATGATAACTTTTATTACACCTGCCCTGAATTAGGGTATTGGATATCTCAAAAGCCAATCTATATATGTATAAACTTATTTACTTGAACAAGATTCCTGTTTTTTTTTTCCTCCCTTACTGGCAATAGGAATGTATATTGTAATAAAGAGCGTTAATATTTAATGATATATATATAGGCGTGCAACAACTGCCAAAACAACTGCCAGTTAATAACTGATAGTTGACCCCACACATCCTCAAGCAGAAGAAGTTGGGTAGCTTCCGTATTAGGATTAGACCAGGGCTCCTCGTCTCCCAGGGCTTGCGCGGAGTGTTCAGGGTGGTCTGAACCCCATGGGAGGTAGTGGCTGCTGCCTTGCATGGAGCAGTCAACTGGGGAGCACTCACTTCTCTGGGGCAAGTTTTCCACATTCCCTGAGTCTTGTGCTGATTAGGAGCTGTTTGAGCAGAGGAAATTCAGATTTTTTCATCTCTTTGAAGCAATGTCTCTCTCAGAGTCTCGCTGTCCACCTTAGCTGGGATCACTCTTCCTACAAGGGTCACTAGTGACTACAGTCAGCAGACTCAATGCAGCACTGGAGAGTGTGTTTTTAACTCCTCTGGGGCTCCAGTTACTGAGTTGCTCAGTTCCCTTTCCCAGAGGAAGCCGATCTAAATGTGATGACATAGCCCTAGGCAGCAGACATGTTCCAGTACAAAATACAACTTGCTGTAAAAAAGATTAACAAATCGACCCATTAACTTTTGTTTATTTTTCTTAGGTGAAGTGTCTGCTGTCTTGTACCACAAAGCATTTACTACATTCACTATGCAATGCTATTTTGAGCACCAAACACAGAACGTAAATCAAAACATGACACCTCTCAATTTTTTGTGGTAGTGAAATGGATGTTGAAATCATGTGGTTGGTACGATTCTTGTTTTAAAAATAATTAGCACTTAAATGTTGGTTTGGGGCACTTTATTTCTTCTCTCCTCTTCCTTCATTGGTTTCTTCTTCGGGGAAAAAGCAAGATTATTTCAGCTTGAGGTGCCTCTGAAAATTACCATCAATCCAGCTAACTTTACCCACTTCCATAAGATGCCATAATTGCAGAAATTTTGCAGTGCTTGTTGAAATTTTACTATTCAGCAGTTTTGTGGGTTTGCATGCTCTTGAATTTCGTGTTTGCTTGTTTGCACTGGGGTCAGCTTAAGGTCTATGAACCTCTGCTGACTGCTTCACAACTTTAAACTTCTGTCTAAAACTCATACAGTTGCATCACTTGAGCCTGTACAACAGATTTTTTTTAATGACTGGTAGGCTTTCAAATTGTCCCCAATCATTGCCAAATTAAAAAACTTCACTTTTTAGCAAAGTATTTAAAGATTCAGATTATTAAGGGAAGAGAGAACAACTACAGAAGAGAGATTCACTTCAGAGCTTCATACTTAGTTCTCAGCTCTGTCAAAGGCTTTATGTCTCCCTCAAAAAAAAAAGAATTCCTGTACTACCTTCGTGAAACTCTTTCTTCTGAAAGTGGGGAGATAATACTGATTTTCATCCCCACTTTATTTGCTTGCTTTTTTATGCAGGGCTTTGGCAGAAAAAAGTCTGTGCCTCAATACACATTTCTAGCCTCTAGTGTAGTATAAATAGAAATAGTAGTATAATCTGCAAGAAACATTAGATTGTGTATATTTGCATGGCCAAGGATCCCAAAGGAATCAGCTGAATGTGCAGAGAACACAAGTTTCAGACACAGTCCACTCTTGAATGGGTCATTACACAAAGTCTTTCAGAAATCAATTCTATTTTAGCATTTTTTTTTTACTATCTGTGACAAAATAATTACAGACCCTTGTCCTTCCTTTCCTTTGTATGTTTTTCTGCTCATATACAGAATCTGTTCAAAACACTGGGCTGTCTTTTCACTTGTTTATTTGTTTTGCTACCTTATAATAGAAAATGCATAACTCTTTATGCATAACTTCTTACATAAATCTAATAAGTTGTTTGGAGAAAAACTATTCCCCTTGTAATTTTCCCCTACAATTACATTGTCCAATTATTCAAATATTCCTTGGAAATACCTTAAAACAATCCTGTAAAGGGAAAAGTTTTCAAAATTACTTTCACTACAAACTTCTCTTGGAGCACTGTTCTACAGTCTAACATCCCTCTATGTGACTCTTGTACTAAAAAAGAAATAGTTTATGTTCTACATTTTTATCATTCAGTTTGGTCTAGATGACCTCTAGAGGTCCCTTCCAACCTTAAGCATTCTATGATTCTATGATTCTATGATGCTTTGACTTAAGCTGTAACTATGAGGTACCTAGGTATGTCTCTAATAACAGCCCTGCAACCATTTAGGAATAATTTTGGATAATTCTCTTGTAAACATTGATGGACTGATCACATTATTGCTGGAACAATTGGTTAGAAAATAAAATTATTTCACTTTTAGGCAAAGATGCCAACACCAAAGCTGCAGAACAGTGGTGTTAAGTCCTGAACAAGTAAATCACTTCTAGTTAAATCTGGAAGATTGCAGTGATATACAAATGGTAACATATAACTATTTTTCCTTCAGGCACAAGAAAGCTAGTTTCAAAGAATTTGGAATTCACAGGAATTCTTATTGTGGAGCTTTAAACTATTCATTTCTACAGATTTCTGAGACATATCTACTGCTGCTCTGCAGAGCAAAGAAACTCAAGAGTTTCACAGTTACAGAGGAGATAGATAAGATCGCAGAAATGTGTTTCCTACAACACTAAAGCCATCAGGAAGCAGAACAACTGTTTCTTAGCTCCACACAAAGCAAGCAAAATTCACTGTAATTGTTCCTTAAAACATGACCTAATACCTAATAATAATGAAAGCAAAGGTGCAAATGTCCTTAAGGAAATGTTGGAAGGAAAGGAATAAGATGTATGCCTAATTATTGGTGTTGCACTGGTAAGAGTGACTGCATGTGCATTGGCAAGTAGTGCAGTGTAGCAGAAATATCAGCAGTATGGATGCAGTGTTCTTCCCACACACCTCAGAGCACAGTGCTTTTTAAGAAATGACAACCCTTATGACAGCATTGCTGAATGAATAAAGAAAGTACCAGATCCAGCAATGTAGAGGAGAATTTCCAAATGTCTTAACAGATGCTGTCCAACCCTAACTGGTATAACTATATTTAGTACGGGCTGAGACGGGCAGTGAGGTAGAAATAGCCTAAATGCCAAATTCCTCCTGTTTTTATTTACTTTTGCTATTTGTCATCGTAAACTAGAAGGCTAGTATTGTTCAAGTAACAAATTGAGCTTTTGCTCATTCAATTTCACTGATTCTTGTCTGCTTCCTGTTTTGTCAACAAGGCGATGTTCACCACGGTGTGTATCAGAAAGCCGGGTGAGTTTTTTCCATGCAGGAACAATGTCCACAAAAGGGGAAGGTCGATTCAGCTGAAATAGCACCTCCCCTTGGCATCCACACTGGTAGGTACATGTTTCAATAAAAAACTCAGCAGAAACTGAGATTGGACTAGCCTTGGGAAGACAGAAACCAACGTTGAGCTTTAACCTACAACCCCTTCCTGTCATAATACTAGATTTGTGGCATTTATTTTCTGCCTTGTAAATCAAAATCACATTTCTAGCATTCAGTGCACACAGATTCATGATCTATCTATGCCTGTTAGAGTGCCCCTCTCACACTAGTATATTTCTCATTGATCTGTGCCTGAGCTCCCACCATAAAGTAACTTAAAGTACTACTTGTAAAGGAAGACAAATTCTATCAACTGTCCACTTTACATAATCTGGTTTACTAATAAGCAAAGATCCTTTTAAAATGGAATATATTCAAAACTACTTACTGATTTTTAATGCTTCTGGTTTTAAGTACATCTCATGCCATTATCTATTCTGAAGTGCAGATAAGAAGTCAGTATAGGGGTCCCAGAAGTAAAATTTGTGTTAAAGCTTTTGAATTCCGTTTCTTTACAGAAACAAGAAAATATATATTGCATTATATACTCCATAATGTTATTTCTTACCAGCCAGTCATTTATTAATGACTGAAGTATTTTTGAACTATTATTACTGGAAAAGATTGTGGTTGGACTAGTGTAACTATTGAAAACGTGTATTGTTATACTTAAATTCATAAATCTTATTTCATATTTTTGTTACCTGTGAAATGTTAGAAAAACAATTATTCTAGCAGAGGAGAAAAGAAATAAGCCAGTGTAAGTTACAGCAAAACAATCAAAATAGTACTTTGTTTCCATCCATTTCTTCCCACAACCTATATAAATATTCCAAGACCATGTTTATATGGAGATACAGTTTCAGAACACTCTGTGGGATGACAGATGCCTAAACCACATTGTGGAGGGAAACAAAAAGTAGTCGTCTAAGCATGTTTACTTTCAGTGACAAAGAAGTTTTAACTTGTCCCTAAGTGATGACTCACTGACTTAGGACTATAAAAGTAAAGGTAACTGCTCTCTAAAGCATCAGAACTCAGAAATCCAACATGATGCAATCAAGACTCTCAGCTGTTTTCTTTCTCTTGTTGGGTTTGTCATTTTGTCTGACAATCCCTATTCCACTTGAAGATAGCCATGAATTCACAGAGGAAGATCTTCGGTTTGCAGAGGTACAGTATATAATTATTTTGCATGTTTTAGAGTAAGTTTTGTAGTTACAACTGTTACTTGGAAACTAGAGCTATTGCTTCTTTTTCCCCTCTTAGCGCTATCTCAGGACGCACTATGATCTCCGTCCTAATCCTGCTGGCGTAATGAGAAAGAGTGCCAATACAGTAGCATCTAAACTTCGAGAAATGCAAGCTTTTTTTGGCCTCAAGGTGACTGGAAAATTAGATGAAGAAACATATGAGCTGATGCAGCAACCAAGATGTGGTGTTCCAGATGTAGGAGAATATAACTTTTTCCCTAGAAAACTGAAGTGGTCAAAAAGCAATTTGACATACAGGTAAAAGCATGGCATTTTGAGTATTATTACTGTTTCTTCTACCTATTTACCTTGTCCAGTAGAGAGCACAGTATGTGAAGTTGGTGGGAGAAGGGCACTTTCAAGTTTGACAGGATTCATGCTGGAGTTTAAAATCTTTATGGTACTAATCCGAAGTTTAAGAAATTAAATATATATTTTTCCATTGCAATTTGTCCATTTAGGAAAGCTGGTATAGATGCACAGCATGCTACTTTGTCCCACTTTGGCCTGCCTATGGACACTGGTTACATCTATTGTGCTAAATGAAATATGGGTTAGGATGGAGCTCATGCACCTCGCCACTGATCCTCACACTACTTAATCTTAGGTGGCTCCGTGGTTTTGTATGGATGTGTTTTGGCTCCATGGATGTGTTTTGATGAGGTCTGCCCACAACACTTCTGCTGTAGACCGGCAAACCGGTCTATGCAACATGACTGTGAGACCAGGGACCAGCCCTTGTCCACCTTTTGTTTCGCAGTGCAGAGCGGGCTCCTCAGCTGTGGTGAGACCATCACTGCGGCAGGGCACTCAGCACTGTGCTGAGCTCCAGCCCATCCAGGCCCTTGCGGTACTGACCAAGAAGGTGGAAATTATCGTACCTCCAATATGACCTTGGTCATCCGAACTCCCTTGACAGATGGTGAAAAGAGAAAAGGTTTTCTAGGGAGAAACCAGACTGACATTTTAGACATTTCTTTAGGATGAGCATGTCCTGAAAATGTCTCTTTCTCTCTATTGACTAAAATGGGTCCAGGTGACTACTTTCCATTTAGGTCCCATTTAGGTAGGTCGCACAAATACCCACACTGTATCCTCAAGCACTTAGCACTAGGAAGCTGTGGTGCTGGAAGATCACGTTAGCTTCTTCTCTCTAAATACCTAAGATAATTGATAGGAGATTGGACCATTGGATCATTGGACCTGAATTTCTTTAGCAAAATACATACATGAACTCACTAAACTCTTTCTGACATATAATTTCACTAAGAAGTAATAAATACTGCTTTTATACCAGTGGTTTCATGTCCACAAAAAGCTTTTTGTGTCACGTTTTGCCTGTCCAGGTAATTGGGTCACGTGGCTTTCCCAATGTTCTAAGTTACTGGTATAGTTTGACTTGATACAGAATACATCTGGCATTTTCTATATCCTCTGGTGAATATAAAGGCTACAAAAAAAAGCTACTGATTCATCTCGGTTGTCTTCAAGTGATTTTGATTAAAATGGAAATGGACATTTTTTCTTTGGGAATGGTATATGCAGCAGCCCAAGTCTCTGTTTTTAGATAAGAATGTAAGGAGGAAACAAGGAACAACTTGTTAATTAGGTAGAGAGTCTCAAAAAAAACAGATTATAAAATGTATTACAAATCAACACGACTTAACTGGATATATTAATTTGTTTGATAGAATTATGAATTATACTCCAGACCTGAGCCGTGCTGAAGTAGAAAGAGCTTTCAAAAAAGCATTCAAAGTTTGGTCTGATGTGACACCACTTAACTTTACTAGAATAAGGAGTGGAACAGCTGATATCATGATCTCCTTTGGGACTAAAGGTAACAAACTTTTCTTTTTATATTATGGTTATATCATTATTAGTTTAATAATATATAGAGATATCATTGATTTCATTGTTTGATTGCTGTTTTATAGAACATGGTGACTTTTACCCCTTTGATGGACCTTCTGGCTTGCTGGCTCATGCTTTCCCTCCTGGTCCAGACTATGGAGGAGATGCCCATTTTGATGATGATGAAACTTGGTCAGATGATTCTAAAGGTAAAATATGTTCAAGAATTTGTTTGAAATGGTGTTAGAGGGACAATTTCCACCTGTTTGATTCTTTGGAACAGATTGTTTTGCCTGTTTACTTTTCATAAATCATTATGTTCACTGTCTATTTTTAGGAGACTGGTCATCCCCAGTCATAAATAGGAGTGTAACACCTGCCTGGCGTAAATTTTAAGATAGTAAAGTAAACTTCTGAAGTAGAGTTGCTAAAAAAAGTCTTGGCAAACAAGGCAAATTGGGAGCATGGAATTCTGTTGAGCTGGCATTTCACTGAGCTCAAGGACCTTATTTCTGATAGTATTGGTGGGAATGGATTTACTGACGACAATAGAAAATGAATACATTTATTTCAACTTCAAGCCAGATTCTAATCCAGTATTAAAATTCTTCACCGTTTTGGATGGGTGTTCACCCTACCCATCCAAAAAAAAAAAAAAGAGTTTTAATAGAACAAAACTATTTTCAGTACTGTGGCATTTCACCCTCCAGGCAGTACTGATGCAGTGCTGATAACACTATGGGCTGTCCACTGGATGTACATTCCCAACAAAACTTCTCATGATTTGAGTGGGACTAAGACTTCATTCTACAGCTTTCCAGTGTTATTAAGAAATTTAAGGGATTCTGCAGCTGGCCAGAGAAGGACATTATCAAATACTGAACACCACCTCTGAGATACAGAATCAGTTAGGCACTTATTGAATCAAAACTCACATTAGCTTGAAATAAAACAATAATTATGCATTCTTTCCATTTGTCTTCTTTATTGCCCCACATGCTAAGGCAGAATGTTAGGATTAGTTGATTAGTCCAAGACACTTCATTGACAGATGGAGATATACATTCACTTTTACTATGGTCTCTTGTAGGGTATAACTTGTTTCTTGTTGCTGCCCATGAATTTGGTCATTCACTTGGGCTTGAACACTCCAGAGACCCTGGAGCTCTGATGTTTCCTATTTATACATATACTGGAAAAACTGGTTTTGTTCTTCCTGATGATGATGTGCAAGGCATCCAAGAACTCTATGGTAAGTCTGTATATACAATATATGCTTCCTGTGCTGCAGATAACCTGCTGCAGATGCACCACATAGTTGTCAAAGAGCTGGAGATGTTCAATAGAAGTAATAACAATTGATTAAGATCAAATCACTGGATTCCTGGCAACCAGCTTTTAGGAACAGAAAATGCTTGGATATTTTAGCTCAGAGAGAAAAACAGGAAGCATCTTTGCAGAATACAGCTGATGGCTGTGCTGTCTCCTTCAGGAGGGTGAGGTTGGGAAGAGATGTGCTGCTTTTCGAGCTGTTTCAAAAGAGAAAGTAAAACAGAGTCTAAGGGAGAAACAGAAATATTCAGGTTTCAGTGTTTTGTCCTGTAAAGAGGAAAAATTGTGAGAACTTCGGAACTTAGGATACAGGAAGCAAGTCCATTTAACATCTTTATAGCACAGCTGAACCACAAAGTTCAAGAACACATTTGGGCTAAAGGAAGATAGCATGCAAGAATGAACTTTTTCCACTACAAATGACTTGCTTATGATGCCGGTATTCATCCTGGTCCTATGGGAAACGGAGAACTCATGAGAAACTGTGGGAAGCTGTGGGAACGGTGAGATTTAGGAGTGAGAAACTGTGAAAATTAGGAATAACAGATTAGCAGATAGAGAAACCTGAAACACAGGCTGGACGCACTGATCTCTGGTTGGTTACCTGTTGTCCGTTAGCAGGGCTGGACCCAGATAGCAACAGAGTCAAGGAATTGGCTGGAGGCAGGGGGAGGGAGCGCGTGGACAGTGTATGCTCACATACTTAGAGAATATATGTTTGGTCTGATGCTCAGGAAAATGGCTCCTGGTCCTAAACCTTAAGCCCCTGCTCCTTCAATGATTCCCACAGTGGTGCATGGAAATTCTTCCATAAGGTTTTAAAGCTAAATCATAGTATATGGTTGCAGGTGCTGGAGACAGAGATCCAAACCCCAAACATCCAAAAACACCAGAGAAATGTGATGCAGAATTATCTCTTGATGCAATAACAGAACTTCGTGGAGAAATGCTGATCTTCAAAGACAGGTAAAGAGACTCGCAAATGATGGATAGTGTGTATGTGGAATATGCTGGGTGCGTACACTGCCTGACTCAGGTAAATGAAAGAAGTACCTGCCCAGAAAATACTGCGTAAAATTCAAACCTGAAGAAACATAATTTCAGTTTTTTACTCATGATTTTTACAGTTATAAATAAAGTAGATCACAAATTAATATGGATTTAAGACACTGTGCCTTTAAGACACTACATTATATCCTTTTAGGTAGAATTTATAATACACTTACAGATTTGACTGCCCTGTAATATGAAGTGGAGCTGGTGTGGCTGAGTATTCTGACCCCATCTGTACACATTTTTCATCTCACAGGGCTTTCTTCAATGCACAGAACGTTACTAATATTTCTTTGAAAGAAACTGTACTTCATTCAGAAGCTTCAAATGCAGTAGTGTTTCTCTTCTCAGCCTAATGAACAAAAGATTCAGATTTGTCTTTTTAGATCATAATAGTGTTAGTGACAGAAATGGTCTGCATTTTAGTGACTAGAAAGAAAGAACAAGCCTATCAGTGGCACTCTGTACAGATATTATTGTTTGTTATGAAAAAAGGGTAATTCACCCTCAAGTAATCTTTAATATAACACATCAGATATATTGCATCCTGTAGTATGATAAGAAACATACGATATGTTTCTTTTCTTCTAAATTAGGTTTTTTTGGCGATTGCACCCTCAGATGGTTGATGCAGAATTGGTGTTACTTAAATCATTTTGGCCAGAGCTTCCAAACAAAATTGATGCAACTTATGAAAACCCCATCAAAGATCTTGTGTTTATGTTCAAGGGTAAGTCTTATTTTGTTTTTGACAGAAAAAGCAAGTATTTAGTCATGTTCACTTAGCAATGGAAAGGCATTCAACAGAGTAACATAATATTCTTCCATTCCTGCTCAAAACAACCTTATTTTGGTTTCACTCCATGAAAATCTAAAATAATTTCAGTGGATTAGGAGGTATACAATTAAACTCGGATGTCTAGGATCACAGATAGCATAAATTATTTAATACCAGGTGAAATTACAGCTTTAGAATATGCTAGCTGTATAAAAATAAGTATTATGGCACCCCATAAAAGATAAGCTGTTACAAAATAATAACGTATACTTCATTCTTGTTTTCAGGAAAGAAAGTCTGGGCTTTGAATGGCTATGACATAATGGAAGGCTTTCCTAAAAAGATATATGAAATGGGGTTCCCGAAAGAAATGAAAAGAATAGATGCAGCTGTCCATGTCAAAGATACTGGCAAGACTCTCTTTTTTACTGGAAATAAGTTCTGGAGGTAAGATGGAGAAAGACTGGTGCTTATTTTTAATTTCCATCGTTGTAATCTGTCCAGAAGTGCCAAAAATGGGCAGACTGTTTCAAATTAGGCACTTTGTAGTGGGTCACACTTTGACAGTGTATAAATTTCTGGGATGCTAGAGTTCTGCAAAATATGCTATAAAGACAAGTTTAGCAAGCCTTTTTTTTAAATATAAGCGTGACAGAAAGGAAACAAATTGCTCAATTTCAGAAGACTTTATACAATAGACACGTATCCCAGAAAGAGGTCCCTCCTTGCTTCCCTCAGCTGGTTGTGTGACACAGATGGATTATCAGTGCTGATCCATGAGACCAAAACATTCACACTATCCTATATTGGCTGCTTTTTTTTCTGGCCATGAGTGGGACTTATAGCCAGGTCAGTGATACATCTTTATAAGAGATGCTACTGTCCCTTTCCAGGACCTCTGTGCTAAACACACTCCAGGTAGGCTTGGAGCACCAAGTACAATCACTGTACCCAAGCACTGGGTACAATCAGCTCCATATAAGACATAGTTTATTGGTCAGTTTTGAAAACTTACCTTTATTTGTTGCATGTTTACTGAGATTTCGTGTAAGGGTTCCCTGTTATTGACATTATTACCCTGGACATAAGATACCTCATGCCTGCCACCTACTCCTGACATTGAGTAACTTCAACAGAGCATATAAAGGGCAGAGACTGAAAGCGCGAGACTGTTAAATCCTCTCAATTTACATTTTTTTTTATGTCTACTATAGTTATGATGAAGAGAAAGAGGTTATGGAAACAGGCTACCCCAGACTGATAGAGGAAGAATTCCCAGGAATTGGTGACAGAGTGGATGCAGTGTATCAGAGAAATGGTATATAATCTGATAATGATGCTTTATTATCATTAACTATGCCTGAAATTTGAGATTAATATTCTGTGGGATATTCTGTCATTTGTAATTTTAACTCATATGACATCAACACTTCTGCTCTTGACTGAACCAGGCTTCTGATCTAAATTGCCTTCTGGTAAAGTCTTTCTCAATTAACTGTGGATATATAGATACATATTTGAGAAGCCAAGAAAGGCATGCCTCAAGTGGTAGAGTTAATACAGAAGTATTGTGAAGCATCCATTCCTTCATATCTAGATCCTTCCTTTACCACTCAACAACATCCAATTCTTCCTATCCAATATTTCAGAGAATTAATCTTTAACAGACACAGTATGGATTTTTCCTAAGCAAATAATACATAAAAGTACAGAGGTTGACACTGGATCAAAATTGTGGTTGTTTTAAAACAGTGATCCAGGTTTGTCAAATGAAATGAGTACCTTTGAAAATTTAGCTCAGCATTTTAAAAACATAAATATTGCATTTATCAGAGTCCTTCAAAAATCAAAACAGACAATTTTTACTTGAAGGATTATTTTTACAGAACAATACAGATTTCTCAGAGTTAATTAATTTCAATTTTCTTTTCCCTTAGGTTATCTCTACTTTTTCAATGGCTCGTTGCAGTTTGAGTACAGCATCTGGGGCGAAAGAATTGTGCGTGTCCTGCATACTAATTCCATATTTTGGTGCTAAATACTCGAGGGCCATGTTATAGGCTGTGGAGCAGCTTGTAGTACATGGAAATAATGATATGGAAATAGATGTTTATTAAAGGGAAGCAAGGTTCTGTGAATAAGCACTGGCTACCAAACATCAAATGTGTACTGTATATATGGAAATATATAGGTGTATGTCAGTCTGGAACTGAATTAACTTAATAGGAACGGAAAAGATAAATGATTAGCATTTCAAAGGGCATTGCACCATTTAAGGTGCATTGAGCATTACAGCTGGATTTCTCTGTGAGTTGCTGGATGCATCCTGCATGATAAGAAGTAATTTGTGCATTCTAACATCTTTCCAGGATCTCCTAGACTGTTATAGTACTGCTCATAAGCCCGGGAGTTTTATCTTTTTTAAACTAATCCTCAAATGCTTTGGAAAATTTCCATTAAAGCACTGAGGATTCAAATGTGTAAAAAAAAAATGAGTTAGGACTGCATGGTGACACCCTGAGAAAGATAACATGGGGCTACTCCATTGAAGTTAGAGAATGCAAAGGTATTTGAATGTATCCTTATTTAAATAGGGATGGAACTTCCCCTTGGAAGTTGATGCCCACATCATCTTTGAAAAAAGCAGAGGGTATAGAAGCACTGAGATGTCTCAAAGCAGGCAATAAAGCAGGAAATAGGTACAGAAATCCTCAGTCTGAATAAAAATCTGAATGAAAATCTGAATGAAATCTGCAACCTTGCAAAAATCCTCAGCTTGAATTATCTGGGAGACCAGAAAGAAGTAGTAACACCGGAAGGATCAAGCAGAGTGCAACCTCATATGCTTCTGGATCCATTAACACATCACAAGTTTTAAGATGGTGTAAAAAGAAATAGGTTAAGTGACATTTATAGAGGTTATAGCAGAGAACTTGAAAACTCAATTCAAAATAATTGAAATAATACCTTTTTTTCATGTTTGTCACTGTTTAGATACCTACTTTAGTTGTTGCCATACCATGTTTGTTGCAGATTTTTTCAATCTATGCGAATGATGCAAGACTGTGATTCTTTGTTTAAATTGGTACTAAATAAACTGGAAGAATAAAATGACATTGTGAAATTACTTCATTAAAACTTTATGATAAAAGTAAGACAGAGATATGAGATAAAAGGAATCAGGAACCCTAGTATGTGTTTTTTATTCATTATAATTTTTACCTGTAATTAAAAATCTTTTTTTTTTTCTTTGGAGGAAAGAGGCAGAACTAAGAAATAAATTGGAATTAGTCCTTATTGTTATAGAAAATACTAGAAATGATAACTATAAAATTCAGCCCCACATTAATTTTACAAATTAAAAATTTAACTGAAACTCTTTTTTTTCTCTCAAAAATTGCCACTCACCCACCAATTCCGTATCTTTCATGATACAGATGGCCATAGTAATGGAGTAATGGCCAGTTCTCACTATAAAGCTGTGATTTAATGAATATCAGACCTTAAAATGCTTAGAGAAAATGCAAGGAAAATAGAACTGAAGAAAAGCCTTAAGGATGGAAAAGCTCAAAATAGGGTAAAATAAAAGTTCTGTCATGATGAAACAATTCTGATAATACCTTGTTAGGAAAAAGTCTGTGTGATTATATGCTCATACTGGACAGCATAAGGTTCATTTATATATCGAAAGCATTTACTGAAGGCATGATACCCGACAAAATAAAACCTGACATTGACCTGCATTTTAGTTTAATCATTTTGCGGTGAAATAAGGGTCTGGGCATGACCCTAGTTCTCATTCTCAGTAGAGAGCTTCTACAGCAAACTGTGGCAGAATAATAGTCTAGTGTAAAGGGCTGACTGCCCTGATTCTGACTGCTCTGAATTTCAAAGGTCTACCCTTAATGTATCTAGGTTAGAGAACACCACGGTGCACTAGCAGGCAAGGAGATACTAATTGACATCTTTCATATTTATCTGAATCTCTGTTAACACTGAACATTTGGCAGGGGAGAAAGGTGCTACATAGGAATCTAGATCTTCAAGAGGCTTCAGCATGCTCATATCCAGCTGCTCCCTAGCCCAAATAGTCAGATTCCTGCTCGCCACTTGGCTGTCTGGAAGTAGTCGTTGGCTCTGGTGCAAACAAGCCTGTGCCTCTGCATCCCTGATGACAAACACAAGCTGCTCTGCGGTTAGGCACTACTTAAGCTGAGAAAAGCACTACCGTTGACAGTTACTGGAATTTTGTTCAGCAAAAAAATGGAAAACAAAAATGTTTGTGCTGGGGAAACTTGAGCTAAGAACCAAATGGACCTGCGAGTTGCGCAGTTAGTCGGGCATTTGGTGCTGTGGGATTTGGTGCTTTGAGAGTCACTACCATCACAAGTGAATCACATTATACGAGTCTGTGATGAGAGCAGTGATTGCCCACAGATGATCCCATGGTCATATGAGGTCTCACTCAAGTGCTGAAAAGAAGTAAGAGCAACATCCTTGAAATAGGGACAGAAGTTGCTGCTTTGCCTGAGAGGTTGTGAGTCAGGGAATGATTGTGAGAGGCTGAAATAGCTCTGCCTTGGAGTCCCATACACACAGATTTAACAGATTCTCAGGAAGCTGCTAGTTTGTGGATCTCCACCTAATAGTATGTATGTGTAAGCTGTCATGAGTTAACATGCCACTTATATCAATTTTGTTCTCTGCTAAGAAAGCTCACCTGGCAGGGGCAGAGAGGGTAATAGAAAGGGAATTGGTAAGGTGTTTCCTCTGGAGCAGTTTCTGTGCTGTGCAGAAACTCCTCTTGTGTGAGCCTCACCAAACAGATATGAGAAGATTCAAGGAAAGAGATGCAGGAAGGAGCAAATGCCACTCAAGCTTGCATTTCAATAAAGGGAGGAAGTAGGAAGCTGTCCTCTTAATTCTGTAGTATATTGAAAAGATAGCAAGTGCTGTAAGAGACAATGTGAGCTATAGCAGGTGTCCTAGTATCTGAGAAACTGGAGCAAGAAAAAAAAAAGATATTTTTAATACGCAGGTGCTTTCTTCTTTGCAAAAACATCAGAAACCTCCTCTGGGGTCACTAGATGGCAGTGACAGCTCTGTTCCGTAGAGGACCTGCACAGGAACTGTCAGCCAGACACAGCAGGACCAAAAAATGATTCCATGGGTAAGGTGCAGCAATTAGCAAATAACAATTAATACCAAATTCAGTCTTACATTTAAAGAAGATATAAAATGATGCTAATAAGTAAAATTTTATTATTATATCGTGTTGAAATGTGTATCTCCGAAAACAAGTTAGGATACTTAAAATGGTTAGGGAACTTCTCTTACTTCCAAGGCACTTTTTTTTTTTTCAGTCTACTGGCAGCTTTTTTTGACTTCAAAATCAGTGTCATGCACTTGAAACACTCTATTTCGTGGATAGTTCCTGAAATAATATGATCCCTCAGCTGAACTTCATTCACTGGAATGAATGTAGTGTCTATAGCATCTATAGTATCAAATGTTTGACCGCATCTGCTTGGAAGCGCTAAGGACAGTTCAGAGAGTAATTCTCAGTAACCTTGTGCTAGCATTTCCAGTCTTGTGAATATGTAACAGATGGAGAATGTGGCCTTGATCCTTGAATGTCTAATACTGCCAAGATCACTAAGAGTTCTGAGGATATGGGGCTAGACAGAAAATGACTTTCTTATCCTGCAAATATTTTTCAGACATTCACACAGGCTTTCTGTTTGCAGTAGAGAAAAAAAAAAGAAACTTGGAAAGTAGAAAAAGAAACATAAGATACTAAATACTACATTTTGGTGGAAAGACTATGATATTTCAGGTTTTTGCTCAGCTTGGTTTTGAAGAGAGTGCTAGATGTCAGTATCTTACCTTTTAAATGAGTGGACGAACTGACTATTGGCTTATTTCGTGATGAATTTCTTTCCAATTATTCTGCTGAAGATGTTTCTTCATTACATATATATCATGATACAGTAAATACATAATCAGTAGCCGCTGGAAAGACTGACTGTTCGCTATTCAGAAAGCTCATTTGGTTTGTAGGATCATTGTATTAGTCATGGTTCATTTTTTTGTACAATACACTGTGGGCCCTTGCCAACTTGGGGGTTTGAGTCTGTGTTTTTTCTGTTGGAAAAATGGCATTATCAGGAGTTCAGAAATTACTAAGCCCACAGAGATTTTGTTCTGGTCAGGGATCTCCAGCTCTACAGCCTAACCTAATGTGTGGTGGGCACATCCCTTTTAGTCACAACCTTTCAAGTATATTGTGCAGTACGCATTTCCAGTCAGTACTGTTCAGGCATGCCTCTGGCATTCACTTTGGCATTCACTTCAGTTATCTTCAAAACATCTTATGCCATTATCGCTTCCATGCTGTGTCTCAGTGAACTTGCAGTCTGCAAACATGCCCTACTCTACAAAGCATACCATTGACCCTTTTCTGTTTTTCACATAGAAAATGGCTGAGGGAAGATTTTGCTCTAAGAAATTTTTCTCCAGGCAGGAAATAACCATGTCTTGCTTTTTTATTTATTTGTTATATAATAAATTTCCTATTACCATAGCAATGATGCTGTATACACAAAGCATTTCTGTAAGCACCTGAGCAAGCCAGTAAGTCATATTTTTATTTTTCTCATGAATTACACCAGAGTCCAATCACCACTTGACAGGACTGGCTCACATCCATTCTGCTTAGGAGTAGTGTTCTAAGAAAGGTCATGTCCATACTGCATAGTGTCTTCTGGATCACATGAAGTCTTGTTCTGCTCTTACTAAAGCAGGCAGATCTCCCATTTCCAGGGCAGAGCAACAGAGATGTTGCTTTGTCCTGCCCAAATTATGATGTTTTGGTGTTCTGTAATTCACCACTGCATGAGCTGCCAACCCAGTAAGACAGCAAGAAACACTCATTTTTTACACCTACAGTTTGTATCTTCCAAGTGTAGTTTTCACAAAAATGTAAAATGATCAAGCCCTCCTAAGTGGCTATCATAAACCAAGAGGAATCTGGGAGAGTTTTTCTGGAGGCAGCTGAGTTTGGAGAGTCTGACTTTTGCAGTGTCCCTACCACACATCCATGTAACAGCCTTCCTTTGCAGACTTAATGTAGGCTGCCTCCAAATTCAGGACCACCACTAGGCCCCCCTCGAGAGAGGTAAAGAATTCAAGGATTGTCAAAGTCAGTCAAAAATATCCCTGCTGCTATTAAAGACATGACTTTGCAGGAAGTGCTGTTCTTTAGAGGACTTACATGGAGAGCATTAATTTTAACT